CTGGACCCAAAGGAAGGGAAGAAAATGTTCCTAAACTTTTTCCCATTTCCGGATTACCTTGATCCTAGATAAGGAGAATATCTCCACCTACTGGTGCATTTTTGGAACTGCAGGTAACTCCTGTGCATCTGGAATAGTGGTGACTCCAAAGGGTGCTTGCTGGCCACCTACCCTGCTTAACACTGCAGTCCTGATGACTCAGTAGCTGTTTTTATCTAGTCTGACCCAGGCTCTGGTTTTGTTTCATCTTCTCATCTATTCTGCCTCAGTTCCCTCAGTTCCCCTAATTTGTAAATGAAGGTGCAGAACCTGATCTCTGCCGCTCTAACCTACATTCCTAAATTCCCTTAAACATAAATGTGGGGCCCTTCCTCCCCAGATGGCCTGTTCTTTTTGCCTTGTATGCACTACTTTGTCCCCAGAAACTCTGTCAAGCAAATGCTTTTATTATCCTTGTTTTACAGATGAGCGAACCCAGGCTTAGGGAAGTGGTTTGTCCAGTGTCACTCAGCATAGGAGAGGTGGGGTCAGGATTTCCACCCATGTCTGACGCCAGACATACACTGCAAACTCTTGTGTAACCACCTGCCTCACTCCTCCCTACCTAGAAGTCTGTGATCCCACTACTAAAAGCCCTCAAGAGCTTTTTAAACCTGCCCAGACACCACCTCCAGGTTCTACCCAAATGGTGGGGGGAAGGGGACCCCAGCATGAGGAATTTGAAAAGTCCCAGGTGATTGCAAGGTGTGGCTGGGCTGAGAAGCCCTGGGATGGCAGGTGCACAGAGGTGTCCTGAAAGTCTCAGTGCAGGCTGAAGCTTTCATAACTGCAAAAGTATAAACACACTTTCAAAAACTTAAGAGACTTTATTTTTTAGAGTAGTTTTAGATATTAGAGAAAAACTGAGCAGAGACTGGTGAATTCACAGATATTCCCCTTTGCCCTCTAGCTGCCCTGATTATTAAATGTCTTGCATTAGTGTGGTTCACATGTGATGCTATCATAATTGAAGTCCACGGGTCACATCCTGGTTCACTCTGGGTTCACATTCTATGGGATTCAGCAAACGTATAACGACAGTGTCCACCATGGCAGTGTCACGCAGAGTGGTGCCACTACCCCCAAAACCCCCTCTGCTCCCCTACTCCTCCCTCCCAAACTCCTGGCTTCCTTCTCACCCCCAATGCCTGCTCTTTTTGCTCTCTCTATAGTTTTGCAAACTTAGTTTTTAAAATCATTTTAAAATGTAAGTCTTTGGCACCTAGTTTTGTGGATTTAAAACACTTTAACATTTAACTTCAATTTTGTTGTCTTAAGCAAAGGGACTGAAATTAATTAAAAATTCAAATCTAGTCCTTCAAACACATAAAACTAAATAAATGTAAAAGAAACTCACAGATCTCAAATGCTGATTTTGAATGTTTGTAGTGTTCATACTTTGGAAGTTTTTAGAACAGAAAATTGCGCTCAGACTTCTAGAACACATTGTATTCAAGAAGAGAGAAAACAGCTAAGTCCACAAGTCAGGAACGGCTCTGGGAAGGCGATGCTGCGGGGACCTGAGCGTCATGGGGAACTGGGCAAGGCTGGACAGGCAGACAGCAGGGGAGGAACATCACTGGCAATAAGTCTGTGAGAGCCAGAGGTAGACCTGACTAGGGGGCTGGGAAGGCCAGCTGTTCCATGGGTAGAGCCCACCCTTCACAGTGGTACTCAGCAAGAATGGAGGCTGGAGGGGTAGAAGTGAATTGTGGAAGTCACTGAACACAAAAGTGGCCACTGGGAGCCACTGAAGATTAATGAGCAGCGGGAGTGACGGTCTGATTTGTGTGGGGAAAAGGATGGGGAAACAAATGACCTGGGGAACTGGGAGAGATATCACCACAACCACTGATTGGGTTTTCGTCTACTTCCAGCAGAGCAACATGTAGCTGGGCTGAGAAAACTGTACTTCCTATACCCTTTTGGGTTCGATCATGTGAGTAATTCTGACCAATAAAATGCGAGCATCTGGGTGTCACGTAAAAACCATGCTAACTGCCTCCTAAGCGAAGCCACCTGAGTGAGCTCAGGTGAAACCAGAAGAGTCATAAGAAATAATGAGCCACTGTTGGTTTAAACAGCTGCGTGTGGGGTTGATTTGTTACACGGCACCTGGTAATTGATACAGGGAAGAGGGGAAGAACTCAGATTTGTGGCCTGAAATCTTAACAAAGTGGGCACCATTAGTAGAGATAAGAAGTCCAAAACTGGAAATGGTGAGAGAAGTCTGGACCTTTATCGCCAGCATCCACAGCGTGGGCTGGGACATACAGATCTGAACTAAGGAGAAACAGGGGCTAGAGACGAAGACTAAAGAATGGTTCAAATTGGATGATGCCACGGATATACAGCTGCTCACCCAGGCAGGATGTGGTGTGACTAGAAGGAGCCATGAATAGAGCCCCAAGGAGCACTTGCCTTAAGAACGACCATTGCTGGGCATAGTGGCACACACCTGTAACCCTATCACTCTGGGAGGCCGAGGCAGGAAGATCAGAAGTTCAAGCCCAACCTGGGCCACTTAGAGACTGAGGGAGACCCTGCTTCAAAAATTAAAAAGGGTAGAAGATGTAGCTCAGTGCTAAGGCCCTCAGTTCAATCTCTAGCACCAAAAGAAAAAAAGAAAAAAGAAAAAAAGAAAAAAAAGGAGGGTCACGGAACTGGAGTGGACATAATTACTCTGGTGAGAGCGAGACGAAGACTCCCTGGCTCAGCCTTTCTGATTGAGACCTGGGAATCTGTTTGGAAACCTAGCTTCTACCCTTCCGCTCCCACCAAGGGAATGGAGAATTCCATCCAGGTGAGACAGGGATCTGTCTGGGGAGAGGGGAGAACTGGACCGAGATGGAGGGGTCCGTTTCATTTTCTTGAACTTTTTAGTGTGGAGCACTTGATCTTTTTTCCAGCCTGGCGAGGTGGGGTGAAGCGTGAGCAGGCTGAAGAGCAGCAGGCATTTCTTTCCTGTCACCACACAAAGCCTGGCTGAGTGCAGGCGGGTGGGCCCCTGAGCACTCAGCACAAAAGAGATGCAAAGTGGTGTCTCAGCTGAAAATAGCTGAGAGGAACCTGCTAGGAAATGTCCTGAGGGACAACAGTCCTATCTCAGGCCTTGGAAGTGTGACAGAAAAAGATCACATGGTCAGGAGAGCTCCAGTGCAGCCTGCTGGCTGTGTGACCCGGGAGAGCCACCTCACTTCTCTGAGCTCCACTGTCCTCAATAAAAGACAAATAACTTGCATCCATCCTTGCAGGTAGGGAACAGTGTTAGGAGTCTGGGCTGTATATCAGACTTTGTTGAAATTCTGGCCTTGCTAAATGACTGGCTGTATGGGCAAGTACTTCTCTGTAACCCTCTCTGTTCTCCTGCAAAATGGAGCTAACAACAGTTCCTCCCTGACAGGAGACTCCCTCACTTCCCTCCAGGCCCTCACTGCTGGGGCTTGTTCAGCCTGAAACAGCACCTGCCACACAACCCCAGTCATTGTCTCCCACTCAGCCTGCAGGCTCTGACTCAGATGTGACCCCTCCAGGAACTGCCCTGCCCTCTCCACCTGGTCTTCATCTGTCATAGCATTTATCATACTATAATTACATGATTATTTATCTGTCACCCCAGTGACACTGGGCTCCAGGATGGCAGGGCCCTGGTCAGCCTGGAAGCACGAGCCTATCCCTGGGTGCCTGGCCCTGCAAAGGGATAGAAATAGTGATAGTGGTAGGCAACTGGTATGTTACTGTTTAATAAATGAGTTTATACATCCTTAGTGTCTGGAGCAGGTAAAGTCTGTGTACTCAGCAAAATGTATGCCAAGCACAGAAGCAGTGATACTCTAGTAGCTATAACACATGCAGCACCCAACCTCTCCGTTCCTAAATACTGACACTGAGAGCAACTAGGCTCCCCAGAGATACAGCTTAGGGCCAATGGGAAAGCCTGGAAGATCTTGCAACAGAAAATAAGAAAAGGCTCCCAGAGGTTGGGTTAAGGCCCAAAGGAATGGCACTAGGCTTAAAAAGCATCTCTAGGGACCAGGGATGTAGTTCAGTGGTTTCACCGCCTGCTGCGCAAGCACAAGGACCTGAGTTTGATCTCCAGTACCAAAAATAAATAGCATCACCGGACAAATCTAAGGGAGAAAAAGGGAGAGATTAACAGAAATAATAATTTACTATTAAACACCGAATTTTTAAAAATCCACAAATCCACAGTAAGTCTCAACAAAAAAAAATTCTTCAAGAGGAATGCCAGTTAATAAATGTAAAGACAATTATGATAGGATTAGGAAAAGTCTCAAATTGCGAGTACCAACACAACTGACTGACACAATAATGCTAAAACCACTGAGCAAAAGGTTAATACAGAAAAAGATATGCATAGGATCTCAGCGAATTACCCCAGAGAGTCCTTGTTACTTACAAACGGAGATGGGTCCCATTACCTGGAGAAACTGGGCAGACAACACCTTTACCAAATGACCAAGCTTCACATTCTCAGTAACAGGACAAACTGGCATTATGCACCATGTATTCACTGGCAAGCAAGTACACACCCAAGTGTGTTCTGAGAGAAACTAATGAAAGAGAAAAGAAAAAGTTTAACTTCAATCTAATCATGGGGCAGGAAGAGCAAGATGATGGGGTACTCTATAAGACGGAGTCTTAAAAAATTGTCAATGTGATGAAAGACCAAAAAATAGAAGAAAAAGAGAAGGACTCTTCTGAATTAAAAACAAGAGTGAAGAGACTTAATGAGTATTGTGTGATTTTCGATTGAATCCAGGATAGGGGCGGCACGGGGTTATTTGGAACAATATGAAATCTGAATACAGGTTGTGTAGCAGTGCTAGCTATGTGTATGGCAGTGCTAGCAGTGCTGCTTCAATATGAAATTTCTTGGGTATGAAAACAGCATTTATGTCAGAGACAGACATGTCAGACAGAACTAGTAATAGCCTCACCTTCCTGGCATCGAATTCACGCATGAGCGCAGTATACATCATTTCCGAGACTAATTTGGCGCACTGGAGAGTCAGATTGGGCCCAAAAGGCGGAAATGCGCCACCTCTAGTTCCGGTGAGCGCGTCGACTACAAGGACGACAGGATGGAGGAGGTGCCTCACGGTGAGCTCGCGACGGGGGCGTGAGTGGCAGGGGTGAAGGAGCGCGAGCTGTTCTAACTGTGCTCTTGTCTCTGCACAGACTGCCCCGGGGCCGAGAGCGCTCAGGCGGGCCGAGGGGCCTCATGTCAGGGATGCCCCAACCAACGTCTGTGCGCTTCTGGAGCCGGCGCCGCTCCGGACCCGGGTGAGAAAGAGACAAGGCCTAAACGGGAAGTGAGAGGCTCCGGCCCGGAACAGGCGGGGCTTTGGAAGACCATGGGGGAGTGGGCGGGAAGAGAGGCGTGTCCTGAAGTATCCTTGGTGGGACCTTTAAAAGGCGGCAGCAAAGGAGGGGGCCGGAAATGGGGACGGCTCTTTAGATATAAATGACAGGCGTGAACTGAAAAGGGACATGAAGAGGGACAGGGCCCGAGGGCGGCAGGACTTGGAGAAATGTCTGCCAGGTCGAGGGGCGGGGCCGGAGACTTGAGCGACAGTAGCCCTTGAAGTTTGAAATGCCTTGGGTTTAAATTCTAGCTCTGCCATCTGAACAGAATTTTATTTCTTTCGAGGAGTGAGTCTTCCCTCCATTCATTAGAAATATATGTTAATCACCTCCTAGGCACAGTGCTCTGTGCTGAGGAGACAGCTGTGAACGAGACAGGTGTGGTCCTAGCCCTAGCGGAGTTTGATTTAATAGGGAAGACAAATGAGCGAGCAAATAAATTGCTGCCGCAGTAAGTACTGTGAAGGACAAATTCCAGGGTGCGGAGGACTCTTAACACCTACTTAGAAGGATCTTGAAAAGCAAAAGCCTGGGAGAAGAATCTTGAAGGAGTTCAAAGAGAGACTGGGTTTGATTCTTGGACCCACTTCAAACTGTGACCTTGAGCAAGAATTTTAACCTCTCTGAGCTTTCCTCATCAAAACTGGAGAGAAAAATAGTTACCTTAAAACAATAGTATTGTTTTAAGAATTTGAAGTAGGATGAAACATCTAAAGCATAGTAAATGATAGTTATCAGTGACTGCTTATTACAAGTCTGCTACTTAATCAGAATTCTGCATCAACAGCACTACTGACATTTGGGGCCAGATCCTTTGTTCTGTGGCTGCCCTGTGGATTGCTAAATAGCAGCATCTCTGGCCTCTACCCACTAGATCCTGGTAGCACTCTCATTGTGGCATTCAGAATGTCTCCAGATATTGCCAAGTGTCCCCTGGAAGATTTTGCCCCAGGTTTTGAACCTGCAAAGTTGTGTTCAGGAGCTGCAAATACAGCAGTGAAGGCTTCAAACAGTCCCTACCCTCATGAAGCTTATATTCTAGGGGAGAAGACAAACACATAAACCAATAAATAAGACACTTTAAGATGTGATCATAGCCTTATTTTCTTTAGTGCTTATTCCCATCATTGATGAAGTGGTGTCTCACACAGATTGCTTTAAAACAGCCCCAAGGACTTAGCTTCACCCAGGCCATTGGAATAATGACCTTCAGGACTTGTGCAGGTAGTTCATTACCTGAACTGCTTCCTTTGCAGCCATAGAGGAAATCAAAGAGAAAATGAAGACGGTGAAACACAAAATCTTGGTGTTGTCTGGGAAAGGCGGCGTTGGGAAAAGCACTTTCAGTGCCCACCTTGCCCACGGCCTAGCAGAGGATGAAAATACACAGGTGGGACCCTGGGAAAACCTGGGTGATGGTCTTTCTGTCTGAGGGTTTGTGACAGCTCTTAGACACCTGATCTTTTATTTATTTTTTATTTTTAATTTTTTTGGTACCGGGATCCAACTCAGGTCCTTCAGCTTGTGCAGCAGGCACCAAAACCACTAAGCTAAATCCCCAGCCCCAGCTGATCTTTTAGATTAAGTTGAATTGGTCTTTTGTGTATCTCAGTTCCTCCAGAGAAAACGGGGAACTGCCTGACAGCTGAGGTGTTTCACTGGGTTTCCTAGCCAAGAAATTGGTGGATAGCAGTTTCTTCTTGCATGCTGATAAAATTTGTTGCATTGTGTTGAGAGTTCTTTTTCCACTTTATTAACCTCTTTCAGCTTTTCTCTAAGCCAAGTGCCTGCAAACTACAGTCAGTGGGCTGAATCCAGCCCATCTCCTGTGAGCTGACAGTGGCATTAACATTTTAAGGCATAAAATATTTCCTGATTGGCCTTTGCAGAAAATGCTTGCTGACTTTGGCACTAGGTTGTTCACAGATGAGCTTGAAAGCCCAGATCCCCCAGTGTGATTCTGTGGGTGTCAGCTTTAATAAAGGTATGGTAGGTAGCCAAGAAGAAAACCTCAAGAGTTGGACAGGTTCCCATCCCAATTCCATCCACGGCCTAGGACAGCTAGCAGGTTCTCTCTCTTTTGTTAAATAGGGCTCAGGACTGAGTGAGACGAGGCACGTAAAGTGGCAGCATGGCGCCCGACCCTAGTAAATGCTTGGTAAATGTCCGTGACAGCAGTCATCATTACCGCTTTACTGTACTACCTGGAAGATGAACGGATGATGATTTCTGCTTTAAAGATGTATTTGTAGCCTATTCAAAGCACAGTGTTGAGTAGGTGAAAATATACTTGTCAGTTTGTTGTTCTCTGAGGCAACAGTCTCTTCACCTGAGGGTCAGATTTGTACTGCCTAGTGGGCTGGTCAAAAAATCTGTGGTGGTGCGTGTCTGTAATTTCAGCTATCCTGGATCTTGAGGCAGGAATATCTCAAATTCAAGGCCAGCCTGGGCAACTTAGTGAAACCCTGTCTGAGAATTAAAAGGGCTGAGAGTATAGTTCAGTGGTAGAGTACCCCTGGGCTCAATCCCCAATACCACAAAATTTTTTTTTAAATCTGTTTTTTCAGATTGGGTAAAACAGTGTTTGCTTTTAGAAATTGTCAGGAATATCCTTAAATAGCTGTCTAGGGACAGGCCAAACTCTGACCAGTCGTGAGTAGTCAGCTGTTTACATCACTCCCTCCCTTAGCATTCCATTGCAAAGTCCTCGTTGCACACATCCAACAGTGACTGAAGGAAATCTCCCATCCAGTGTGGAGATATAGCTAAGTATGCTGCATTTCTGTTTGCAGTGGTGGCTTAAAAGAAGCATGTAGGAAAGTGTGTTTCCCTGGGCAGACCTACTCAGGACAGTGCAGACATCACTGTCTCCAGTGTGCACAGCATCCGCACAGCGTAGGCACTAAACAGGCTGTGTTGATTGGAGTTGAGTAGTGTGACTTCTTTAGTCCTCCATCCCTAAATCCAGCAGGAGGTTGGGGAATGGCCTGCCCCTCATCTACCTGCAGTCTGGTGGGAGCTCAGCACTTGATGCACAAAGCAGATCCTCTCATTCCATTTGGAAAGAACCTTGGATCAGGAGGGAGCAGAATTGGAGAATAACCATGAACAACTACCGGCAGGCAAGGGAGTGTGTCCGTTGTGAAAGCCAGAGGAGCCTTTGTACTATAAGCTGGAGCCAAGGGACATCAAGTCATGTGCCAGCTTTCTCCTGTGAGCGTCACCAGCTACATATTTATGATCTTGCATTACTATTTGGAAGGTAAACTGCATCACTGAAAAGTCAGCACTGGGTGTTTGGGGACTGGAGTGTTTGAAGCCCCTCCCTGGGGCTGATAAACCCTAGAGCTAGAAGGGCCTAAGGACCTGGAACGTTTGTTTCACACAGCAGAAGCCCAGACAGATGACACTGAGGAAGGAGAAGGAACTCATGTGAGGTGACAGCCTGGGAAGACCCAGAGCAATGGCTAGGACCCTCCTCCCCTGCCTGCTTAAGGGGAGCAGTAGGGTGCAGGATTCTGACAGCCCCACAGCATCCTGCTCCCCATTTACTGCAGGAGACACCCCCCTCACCATCAGCTCCTGCCTGCTGGCTGCAGAGGTACTGGCAAAGATTGCTGGAGGTGCTGTTCTCTCAGCTAGGGCTCTCAGCTGAACCTAAGCACAAAGGGAATTGATTGCCATTATTGGAGTAGTGACACCATCAACAGCACATCTAAAGGGACAGCCTGGCCGTCTGGAACCAGGAACTGGCGGACAGCCTTGTGGGTACCCCTGTGGGGTCAGCATCCCCACCTGTCTACTGCATTCCAATGTGGTTTTTCTCAGTTTCCTCCCTTGGTCATGGGAGTGTCGCTTCTAAAAGGCAGCTAATGGAGTTGTTCCCAGAAGGAATGGCATGGAAATAAGGTGGCTAGAAGCCCAAGTTGCCCGAGGAGATCCTGCTGGGGTTGCAGTGATGGTGACCTCTCCCACATTGTGAGCCACAGATGTGAAGTGTCTGGATCATCAACACCTGTGGATCCAAGTGTCTGGATGAAGAAGGCAAAAACGTCAGGTTGTAGCTCTGCTGCGCTCCTGGGCTGCTCCAGCAGAGGGCGCAAGAGGCGAGTGGCACCTTGAGGTGAAGTGTGTTGTGGTTCTGAGGGAGCAAGAGGTTGGGTGTGTTGAGAGGACTGAACAGGGAAGCAAGAAGCAGCTTGGGGCAAGTTCCAAAGTTACCCAAGGTGCTGCACATTGGAACCGAGACCTCCCAGCTCTCAAGATGAATACTAGGCCTGCCCTGCCCTGGGTTCCTAAAAGCTGGCCCAGACCTTTACATTCATCAGTCTGGAAGGCAGAGGTTGGGAAGGGGGAGGAGTCATCTGAGACTACACCAAGTCACCAGCAAAGAGCTTTCTACATTTCTTTCTTATTTTAAGTGTCTTTTTTGAAACCTTATTGTTAACCTTTAGGATCACAGGAAAACAGAGATTAGCCAGAACATCTGCTCTGGGCTCCTTTCCAGAACTCTGGCTTTAGAGTTAGGAGACTTTGCTTTATGGCTCAGCTCTGTTCCTTGCTCACTGACCATGTCACCTGGCCTCCGGAAACTCAGTTTTTTTCTTTTGTGAAGCAGAGATAACAATGCTTACCACCTAGGGCTGAGTAAACTGTGGCCAATCCTGAGTCTGCAGGTGCCCTGACACTTGTCGTTGGCAGCCTTGGAGCCGAGCCAGACTCGGGGCAGGGGACAGTGTTGATGAGCTGTTTCCTTGGAGTTTGAGCGGTGCCTTGGTAGCCTGGAAGGTCAGTGTTAACCATTGTCCTCATGAGGACCTGACTGCTGCAAATCTGACCTAGTTTCTTTCTGCCGTCTCCTACTCCGTACCCCAGCCTTTCCCCTGTCCTTTCCTCTGTGCATTTGGTATGTAACCACCAGGTCTTGCCTCCCCCTCCCAGGTTGCCCTTCTGGACATCGATATTTGTGGGCCCTCTATTCCCAAGATCATGGGATTGGAAGGAGAGCAGGTAAGAGCTGCGAATCAGAACTTAGGGCAGGCAAGGAGTCAAGCAGAGGTCGTGCGTGTCTGTGTGGGCACGATGAGCTCAGATATGTGTTCCATGACCTATTTGCCTGAGCACCAGCTGTTTATTTGAGGGGCGGGATTATATATAAAATCCATCTGCACCATTTGAGAAGCATGGGTTTGGATGCCTTCTCAGAGAGGAAGGGAAACAGTAAGTGAAATGCAGAAGTGAGACATGGAAACTTGGCTCTGGCTGGGACCTTGGGGCTGGAACTTGCTTGGGGTTTGTGCCCTAGAACCCAGGGAGTCTTTCTGCCCTTGTCGCTCTGGGGAACTGAGACTTTGAGGTAAGGCAGTGAGTGACGTGGGCAGGGGCAGGGCCGCCACAGTAGAGCAGATACCAGGCCTCCCTCCCATTAGTGACAGGCTGTCCCAAGGAGGGGCCCCCCATGAAGGTAGGAATGGGGGTCCAGCATCCCAGGGCTTTCAAGACTGCCTTCTTTCCTTAGCGCCAAGTAAGTGAGGTAGATAAAGCCTCATAGAAAAGGGCAAGTGACAGCAGACTGCCTCAGGGCAAGAGGAGCTGCTCTTTGGCAAGGGTGGTTCAGGGTATCCTCGCAGGGGGCTGGCCTTTAGCAAGCAGGTGGCAGAGGGAAAGGTAGCTTGAGCCCTTACACCCTCATGTCCTCAGCGGACTGGAGGGTCATCGAGGCAGGTGGGGCCAGTCCTAGTGGCTCTGCAAAGGCCTTGGATTTGCATCTGAGGGTACTCAGGGCGGGGGACACAGCCCCTGGTTGGGCAGGATCCAGACGATTTTGATCACAGGCCCTGATCAGTAACACATTTTGCAGTACAAGTCCCCAACATGGGTATAAGGAATTTACTGTATTAGCACAGAAATATTTTAAGAGTGAAAATTTAGCCAGGAGTGCTAAACACCTATAGTCCTAGCTATTCAGGAGGCTGAAGAAGAAGGATCACTTGAGCTCTGGAGTTTGAGGCCAGGCTGGGCAATGTAATGAGACCCCATTGCAAAAACAAAACACTATTTTTAATGAAATAAAAATAAAACATTATTTTCTTCTGTGCTATTGGACCATCATGTCTATCACTCTTTTAAGAGCAGTGACTTAGTGAATACCTATAAGATAGGAATGAATACTTTAAAAAAAAAGAAAAGCTTTGAGCACAGAGGACCATATATTACATGTTTCCATTTATATGAAATGTGCAAAATAGGCGAATCCGTAGAGGCAAGAGGTAGGTTTGTTGTCACCCAAGGCTGGAGGACAGTGGAGGGTGGGAGGAGACAGCTCAGGAGAGCAGGGTTTCTTCTTGGAGTCATAAAGATGGCCTGAAGTGGGTGTGGGTGCACAGCTCTGCGAATGTACATAAAGCCATGAAAATGTACACACTTTCAATGAGTGAGTCTTGTGGTGTCCGAACTGTATTTCAGTGAAAGGGAATACTTCATCAAGAAAAATAGCCCTTTGATTTTGGCTGCTATGCATTGCTCTAAAGAAGCCCAATGGCTGAGACCAGTGTACCTGGAAGCTGCTCAGCCCCAGGTGCATAACAAGGAAGGAGCCACAAAGAGCTGAACCATGGACACCAAGCCAGGAGCGATCTGAGGCTCACAGTTGACCCAGTGTCTCCTGACCCCAGCTGTTGGCCTGGGATAAAGCTCAGGCTACTCACAGGCCCCGTTTTGAACTCACCATGTCACTAAAAAGAATTCCCTTCACTCCCAGACTTTTACAAAAGCAACCTTGTTGCTCCACAGTGAACTATATTTTCTCTAGAACTCCCAGCCCATTTTTCTTGCTTACTCTTTGAAAACACCTCAGACTCAAAGTCATATTTGAACTGGACTAATTTTGGTTCCCTGACTACAGACCCCAGCAGAATTTCAAAATAGCCTGATCTGGGGAGCAAAGAGTGTTGATTGAGTCGTATCTTCATTCCTCACCCTGCCCCCAGCTGTTGACATCCCATCAAGAACTCAGGAGTGTTGTGTGCAGCGGCGGAGTGTATTTTAACACAACTGCGTGCATATGACCGGGGTGCATAATTTCTTACCAACATTCGTGTTCCCACAGGTGCACCAGAGTGGTTCGGGCTGGTCTCCAGTGGTGAGTATTCACCCTTTGCCTTATGGTGCAGTAGTGTGTGGTCAGGTGTCCACAACAGCTTTGTGGTGGGTTGGCCACGTTTTTCCCAACCACCCTGTCAGTCTGCAGATATTTACTGGGGTACTTTTCCAGGCAGGGAGGATCTATTAAGACCAGGGTTTGGCAAACCTTGTCAAGGGGCAGACAGTAAATATTGTCAGCTTATGGGCCTATGTGCTCTGTTTCTGTGGCTCCAAAGTAGTAATATGTAGCTAAATGGCCACAACTGTGTTCCAATAAAAGGTATTTACAAAAGCAGGCAGTGGGCCAGATTTGATGCCAGGGCCGTAGTTTGCTGACTCCTGATTAAGACAGTTAAGGATATGACATGTACTTATTTCAGCTCAGTTGATTGTCATTGCAGCACAGGCCTCACAGTGTCTTTCAAATCCCCTCAGTCTGGGTGGAGGATGCAGAGTGAGTGTACTCAACTCATAAGTCACATGATAACTTTGTCCCAAAAATAATCTTAGCTAGGCCCCAGACAGGAGCCACAGGGAAGCGCCCGTCTTTGCGGCTTTGAGTAAAGTGCATCTTGCCCTCACCTCTGTTCCCTCTCCAGTATGTGGAAGATAACCTGGGGGTGATGTCTGTGGGTTTCCTGCTCAGCAGCCCTGATGATGCTGTTATCTGGAGGGGACCAAAGAAAAACGGTTTGCTACTCTGCTTTTCTCCTCATGTTCTTGTGTGGTCGCATCCTATCCTGTCAGGAAGCAGCAGTTACCCTGCTAGGCTTCACAGTGTGTTATTTGTGGTGCTGGGAATGAGACCCAGTGCCTGATGCATGTTAGGCAAGTGCTGTCCCACACAGCTATACCCCAGCCACTGCAATGCATTCCTCCCAAGCCTCTGGTTGCCTCTGTCTTCACTATGTGAAGAAAGCTATGAGAAATACCAGTTTCCGTTTTATAATTTTTAATGTCTGTTGTGTTTTTCCCTTCATATGTGTAGAACCCTGAAATTGTTTTTGTTATGGTTTTGTACTGGCTTATTTGGGTCAGACAGAGGTTAGTGAGGTGAGCTGCCCACCAGGCTGAACTGGTACTGGGTCACTCGGCCTCACATCACTGACACTGTGGGCCACTTAAATCTTTACTGGGGGCGGGGGGGTAGCCTGTGCCATGTATGGAAGAGGTTTGATGGTGTCCCCAGCCTCTACCCACTAGATGCCAGTAACACCCCTCAGTCATGGAAGCCCAACATGACTCCATACGTCACTGCATGCCCCTGGGGACAGTGTCACCCCTAGCTGAGAACTGGTGGCATAGAGTATAGACCAAACAGACAGATTGCACACTGCTTCCGTGTATCCTTTCGTGGTACCGGAAGAGAAGGGAGGCAGGCAGCAGCTTCGACTCCTTTCCAGGCATGATCAAGCAGTTCCTCCGTGACGTGGACTGGGGAGATGTGGACTACCTCCTTGTGGACACGCCACCCGGCACATCCGATGAGCACCTCTCAGTTGTCCAGTACCTGGCAGCAGCACACATTGATGGGGCAGTGGTCATCACCACCCCTCAGGTGAGTGAGCGCTGAGTTCCTTTTTCTTGAAGCTCTGAGACAGACCCTACTCTTAGATTGGCTCTTCAGAATATGTATCTGCAGCTACACCCAGCACGGATCTGTAGAAATCTCTTATTAAACTGAGTGGCAGAGGGTGTGCTTAGCAGGCACAAAGCCCTGGATTTGATCCCACAGCTCCCCAAGATGAAATAAACAATGCAGTTGAGCCTGCCTTAGGATTGTCCAAGAAGAGAAAATAGACTGAGCGGGTGCCAGCCCTTCTCTGGGTGCTGGGGGCGCTCCCCATGTTTGTAACAGCTTGTCTGGAAAATGTAGTTTCAGGCCAGGGACATACGCTTTTTCAGAGACCCTCACATCAAGCACTGACATGGGCAGTGTGGCTTCTTACAGGTCACTTTTGACAAAGCAGCAAGGTTTTATTCACAAGCAGAGAGCTTTATTCACCAAGCAGAGAATCACAGAGGTATAACAGATAAGAGACTAAGTAACAGCTGCTTCCTTTCTAGCTAAGGCCTTTCCCTCCGTACCTGGCCTCAGTGGGCTGAGAGCCACATGTGTGTTGGGAAGAGAGGAGAACTCTGGAAGCTTTGAACCTTTCGGAAGCCCATAAGTGCTAGGGCCACAGGCGTTAGGGAGCACCAGCCATACTTGACAGTTATGAGCCAGACCAGGGCCTGGACAGACAAACCTGCAATAATGTTGAACGGGAACAACAGCAAGGGACTAGGCAGTGGTAAAATGACACTGTAAGATAAGCGTTCAGATTTCAGAAGTGTATTTAAAGTGATCTAAGGAGGGCACTATTCCTTCTTACTGTCCATAAAGCTGTGTTCACGATGTCATTCAGGAGTTCTGTCCAGCTAATAAACACCATAAGCCTGGTAGACCATGGAGTCTCTGCCGCAGTGACTCAGCCGTGCCACTGTGGACCATACACAGAGGGTGGGTGCAGCAGGCTGTAGAACTGCTTCCATCACGGAAGCAGGTGGCCAGCCAGACAGGGCCCACCCAGCAGACTTTGCTAGGCCCCTAATCTAGCGAGAGTAGGCAAGTGTTCACTAGAAGGTTGAGTATTGAGAAACACTCAACAGTTACTGTTCTGCAAATTCATATGTTTGCTACTTGGCTGTTCAGGTTTATCTGTTGAGGTTTGTGAAAAGTAATAGTAGCTAGAACAGGGCTTATCTCATAGTAGTCACCAAATCATACTGTGTAAGTGGCAGTCATCTCCAAGACTGTGTGCATGCAGTGAGTGCACCACACAGCAGCATCTCCTCAAGCACGCATCCTCAGTTTCTTGTGCTCTGACATGGGAGTAACTGGTCTGTTTGCACCTTGGCAGGAGATATCACTCCAGGATGTCCGGAAAGAAATCAACTTTTGCCGAAAAGTGAAGCTGCCCATCATCGGGGTGGTGGAGAACATGAGTGGCTTTGTCTGCCCCAAGTGTAAGGTGAGAGAGTGCGTGGCATCAGGGTCTGCACAAACATCCCTTCAGAGGAATGTCTCTCTGTGCAAATGTTTCTGCTTTCTATCATTTTGGGAAGTAGATCTGAGTCAAAACCCCCTATTGCTGACTGAAGGGAAAATGCTGTTTTGGTGGTTAGGTTTTCTGCATTCAGAAAGAAGTTTTTGTTTGTTTGTTTTTTGTCCTTGGGGTTCAACCCAGGGCCTTTACACTGAGCTATAGCCCCAGCCCTTTTTTTTTCATTTTTTATTTTGTGACAGGGTCTTGCTAAGTCACTAAATTGCTCAAGCTGAGCTGGAACTTGCAGTCCTCCTGCCTCAGCTTCCCAGAATGCTGGGATTTACAGGTGTGAACCACCACACCCAACTAGGCTATTTTTTAAAAAGGTTTAAGAGCTACAGTCTATCCTTGATACTGAAACAAAGTCAGGCCTCCTCCCCTTTCATTTTCTTCACAGAAAGAATCTCAGATCTTCCCCCCAACAAGTGGAGGTGCAGAGGCCATGTGCCGAGACCTGAAGATCCCTCTGCTTGGCAAAGTGCCTCTGGACCCATGCATAGGTGAGCCATTGAGTGGGTCTTCACTGCTCAAGTAGCCCTCATGGACACAAGGCTGGGCAGGGAAAAGGGACAGTGGGGGATTGGAGCCAGATGTACAGAGCTCCTGCTCCTGCTGATGTCCCAGAGGCTGACTGCACTGCTGCTGCTGCTGCCACTGCCACTGCCGCTGCTGTTGCTGCAGAAGAAATGGTGCCACCCAGGGGCAGGTGCCTGCGATGAGCAGAACTTGTTCAGGGAGATAGTGACAGGGGAGCAGTGAGGGCGCTAGGAAAAAAAGATACCAAGCAGGGTGATAGCAAGAAGAATGGCTGCAAGGGCTAGAGCGCCAGTTTACAGAGGAATGTGTGTCCAAGGGGGACACCCCAGTGAGGTGTCCTGGAGCCCTTCCTCCCAGAAAGCATCTCCCTTCTCTAACCACCCCCTCCACATTCCTGTCTCCCCAAGATAAGAGTGCAACTTGCTTAAGTCTCATGTGTCCGTGCAGGGACCCACCAACAGAAAGCATGTATAGAGGAGCTGGCTCTGGGGAGAGGGAGGCTGGCACCCCACTACCAATGGCTTTGAGCCAAGCCTCAGAGCTTAGGCTGTCAGGAAAGGAGAAGCCAAGGCATCTGTGGGTGTGGGCCTGCAGGTGCCAGGCTAGCATCACAGGGTACCGGTTAACTTGGCACCAGGAACTGGGCCCTGGTATGAGAAGAGGGAAAGTGACAGGACTTGATGGTTGAGGAGAAAGGGGCATCAAGGCTGCCCTTGCTGCCCAGCACAAGCCATCTGGATAAGAGGCCGTTGTCCAGGAAGGGGGAGGCAGCCAGGGACATGTGACAAAGAGGCAACTGCAAGAATGTGGCTCCCTCTGGGACCTGGTTCTGAGCAGCAGGCACCCAGGCTGTCATCAGGCTCAGGCTGAGGCCTTAGGGAGGGTGGGAGCAGGTGGGGCATCACACGCATCAGGCCAGTGGCAAAGCAGCAAGAATGGGCAACACTGTTACGAGGACGGAAACAGCCCCAGAGAACTCCCAGAGCCCGCATGCAGGAGGGTGTATCCCTGTCCCCCTTCCCTTCCTCCCACAGTATCCAAGGTGCTTCTCTGGTGTGTGGTTCCCCTGCAAAATGCAGAGAACTGCCGCTGCCTTCTAGCCTCCCCTAGGCGGTAGAGCCTTCACCAGGTGGCTGTCCCCTGGCCATAGTGGTACTGAGTGTTTCCTTCTCCACCTGTGAGCCAAGTACCTCCCCGCAAAGGCCTGGGAGGCCCCAGAGGCAGGTGCCAGATGAATGAGCATGAGCAGCACATGAGTGTACACTGCCACCAGTTCCCTTGCCTCAAGCAGGTCCCCTGTGGCGGGATTGGTTGCCAAGAGATGTATTAGGAGAAACCCCAGGCCCAAGGTGGAGCAGAGGGAAGGTCTCAGCCCACTGGAACATCTCAACCTGCAGGAGCATTTCATGTGCTATGCAGCTCTAAGGGAAGTTGGGCACGGCCCCCCGGGGCAGTCACCCCCCAGAGGGGCTGTCTCCCCCACCATGTGGCCCCAGGGATGACCTGTGTGTGGCCAGGAGATTGGAGTCAAGAGCTGCACAGCCAGGAAGGACCAGCAGGCTGATCTGTACCATGTGGGTGACCTTCAGGGTGAACTTAAATGTGTCAAAAGCAACAAACCAAATGGGGACATTATGTGTTCTATCATGTTTCAAGTGTAAGAGTCTATGTGTTTGTTTCCATTTGAAATTCATGTATGTGTATGTTCCTGGAAAGATGCCCAAAACATTTGTAGCCTTCTTGGGCTTTCTTTCGTGGTATTTTCCTTTTGTAGTCCATGGTTTTGTTTTTATGTACCTGTACATTCATTATCTTTATACTCAATTAACCTCTTAAAATGCAGACTGCTGGGTCCACCTGGGAGCTGCTAAGTCATCAGTTTTCTGGGGTCCCTTGAACCTGCATTTGCCACACACTCAGCTGACTTGCAGCTGCACTGAAATGGTAGCCACGTCCCCTCCTGGGTGGAAGGGATGAACATGAGGTTCTTCCATCCCAGCTCTGTTCTCCATGAGCTCCAGATCATGTCGCTGGCACAGGAAGAGCCCCAAGGACTGGTTGTACCATGTTTTCCTCAAGGGCTTCATCGTCTTTCATTTATCTCTTTAAGGTAAGAGCTGTGACAAAGGCCAATCTTTCTTCATTGAAGCCCCAGATTCACCAGCCACATTAGCCTACAGAAGTATAATTCAAAGTAAGTGTTTAAGTGAGTCTTATAAATTCAGACACTTACGTGCTGGGAGAGGCAGGCTGGGTATAAGGGCAGCCTTCCAGTAGTCAGAATGGCCACCACCACCGGCTTTGCCAGGGACAGCATGGGTGGTGGGGACTACAGAGTGGTCCCCTCAGCCCAGAAAGCCATGAGAAATCTCCTGACATATCAATGGTGTGAACTAATTCATAGCTTAAAAAACATAGTAAAGCCAGGCAGGGCTGTGTGTAATCCCAGTATCTTGGGAGGCTGAGGTAGGAGGATCACAAGTTGAAGGAGTCTGGGTAGTTTAGCAACTTAGTAAGACCCTGCCTCAAAATAAAAAATACATTTTTAAAAGGTGGGTCTGTCGCTCAGTGTAAAGGCCCTGCATTCAAGCCCATGTATCTACCCTCCTCAAAAAAAAAAAAAAGTACCATGTAGGTGAAATTTAAGGTATAGGAAATCCATCTGACTAAGGCTATTTAAAAATTGATTTAAAAAAACCAAAAACCATGAGCCAAAGTGAACCTGTGTGCAGGCCAGATGGAGCCACCAGCAGACATCAAGGCCTCAAATTTAAGGCAGAAGCAGCAATAACTGGCTAGAGTTCCTGCCTCTTAATTTGAGGCTGGGATTTATTCACCAGTAGCACGATGTGAAGGGTCCGTCACCCCATTCCGAGGATCCAAATAGAGAACAGCCGGGCACAGCTCTAGCCATGAGACATCCACAGCCAGGCAGTGAGAGGCATTCAGGTCACTTTCCAGGATTCAAGGCATCAGAGAAACAAACTTTATGGAATTGGGCCACCAAGTGTGTGTGTGGGGGGGGCCACCCCACAAGGGTATGGCTCTCCCCAGCTAGGGCAGGGCTGTCCTGGGGGTGCTGACAAGTGTGAGCACTCTGAGCTCTCCGTCTTGTTTTCCAGGAATCCAAGAGTTTTGTAGTCCAAATCAGTCAGAGGAAGAGAACCTCATCAGTTCCTGAAGCATGCTGAGGACCAAGCAGTTCCCGAGTCACGGAGCCTGCCAGCAGCCCATCCAAGCATACTTGAGTAGCTCGGGGATGGGTGGGGTCGCAGGCCTAAAGGGACCAGATGCTGGCCTGCTTGGAAGTGACTTTCTCAGAGACACTTTAATCATCTACTCTCTGTCCACTTTCTTTAGAACATGGCTGCAGGGCCTTCTTCACACATGCCATTTTAAAATAAAAACAGCTCCTCGAACCTGTCCCACGAGGTCTCTTCCCAGATACCAAAGGCCTGGGGACCTAGAAGCCAACCTGATCACAGGATCATAGGACTCCTGTTCATGCCACTCTACCTCAAATGAAAAGGAAGCCCAGGAAGGAACCACAGGGCAGGACACAGGGCTTTGCTGCGGAACACGGTCCTGCTTTCAAACAGCAGCATCCACATTGTTGTTCTCAGATGGAGGGAAAGTCTGGACACAGCAGAGCCTCACTCGGGTCCATTCTGGGATCAGTACACAGTGCAGCTGGGACCCATCAAAACTCCCCTGAAAAGCCCGTAAGTCACCCCTTCACTAGGATCTGTGGTCTGTGTGTACTCCCTGTTTAGTAATAGGCATACAATATATCCAGTAATTTCCAGGGTCATATGCCACCAACAGGAACTGAGACCAGCAGAGGGAAGAATAAATTCCTGTTCTCCATACCACTCTGGGGCCTAAAGTGGAAGGGCGGGCAAATCCCCTTGTTCTTTCCCTTCCTTTCTCTCCTCCCCTTGCTGCCTGCACATGTGGTTGGATTTGCATGCGTTCCACATGAAGAAGCTAGGACCTCTAACGGGTGACCAGGCCATAGAGCCTGGGCACAGTCTGGCTTTGGCCTGGCTGTGTCCTTGGCCATGCAGGAAACTTGGGGAGCCACCTAGATCTTGGGCACAGTGGGGCAGGGGCTGCATTTCCTATGAGCTCCCAGCCACCAGCCTCAATCCATTTCCCACCTAATGCTGGTGATTCTTCATGTCCTCAAAGCAGGCTTCTGAAAGTCTACTGGGAGGCTGGAGAACAGCCAGCCAAGGCTCTGCCCTGCTTGTGAGCAGGCTAGTTGGGAAACTTGCAGGTCTGCTGGCGTGTTATCTTGGCACACACAGCCTCATTCAAATTTAAGATTATTCAAACCATGTCAGGATGAGCCTGGTCAGATTTTCAAAACTCATCTTTTTCTCACTTCTAGAAGTGAGCTCATCTGCTCACCTTCCTTAATTCTATAGGATTTTAAAGAAAAACACGCAACCAAAGTGTCATGAAAGGACAAATGCTGTCTGATTGGGCTGCTTAGAGGCAGAGAGTGATATGGTGGCTAGGGAAGAGGGATGGGAAGTTCGTGTTTATAGAGGGAGTTTCAGCTTGGAAAGGCATAAAGTGTCCTGGAGATGGGTGGTGGCCGCATGACATTGTGAATGTACTGAATGCCAAGAACTGTACACATAATGGTTGAAATGTCAATTTTGTGTAAATTTTACCACAATAAAAGCAGAACAATGATGGCAGCATTACCCAAGTTATGTGCCCAAAGCCTCCTTCACTTTGCAAGGCTGCAGGGTAGTTGTCCAGGTGAGACCTCAGCAACTCACCGTCTGGAACACAGTCTGGGACAGAAAATTGGCAGTGACCTTGCTGATGTCGCTCTCGCCTCCCATCTTACAAAGGATGTAGCCGTAGAGGTTCGCAGCCTGGAGTGAAATCCCAGCAATCACAAGAGCCTGTGCTTGGGCAAAGCAAAGGGAAGTCTGCTGAGAGGAAGGCTGCAGGACCTACTCCCACTCTCTGACCTACGGCAAACCTGGCAGCTTGGGTGTCTTGGTGCTTCTGTTTCCCCTTGCTGTCTCCTAGACATGGTGCACTTTTATTTTTCCTCTTACCCTCTCTTTTCACCTCTCACCTTTGAAATAAACTTTTGGCACCATTAAAAAAGAAAATATGCTAAAATTGATCATGGTGATGGTTTCACGACTATGACTATGCTAGAAACCACTGACTATGCAATTCAAATGAGCCAAATGTATTGGGATAGGAACATCTCAACAAAGCTGTTATAATCTGTCAGTAAGAGCGAGAGCCTACTCCTGCGACCGCTGGTTTGTAGAGATGTCAAAGCAACGTCAAAGTCAAGGTGGTGCCTTACCAGCCACTTTAGCTTCAAGGAAAACAAGGTGCTGAAAAAGAACACTATCCAGATAATAGGGCAGATGATAAGGCCCAGCCAGAAGATGCGCGCCTCAGCTTCCGTGGCGGTGATGTGATTTGGAGAGACCTGTTGGGGGAAAGGATTCAGTTTTCGGAACTAGCGAACAAAGCTACAAAGAGCACTCCACCACTTCCCTGTACGTTACACATGCTTCCACTGCACAGCGCCAGCGGCAGTGGGTTTTGTGCAGGCAGGAGTCAGATACTATACACAGAATTCAGAAGGAACCCACGTAAACTTCTCCCAGCCATTTCGCCAATGCACATTCCTTCATCTTGTCATGGAGCACACCTTTCTGGCTTCAAAAATCCAGTGGCTTTTGCCATCTTCATCGATCTGGTTCCACCATCGGAGGCCCACCATGAGTCTTCCTGTTACATTCTGAAGAGAATGGACAGAATGACCAAAGACCTGCCACAGGCACAATGTCATCATCCTGACGAATAAATGAAAGTCACCAGTTTGTGTTAAACTTGTACTGAGAACAGGACAAAAAAGGGCATCAAACTATGGCCATCAGTTTTTGATGCTTCTAATAGTTAAACTTACTTTAAAAATGAGACCCCCCCAAAAATACATTTATATATTCATGTTGTATATGCTGTGATACTTTTTATATTATGTGTAAATTTTATAAAATTCTAAGGCCATATATGGTTGTCATCCCCTAATGGAAACATGTACAAGATGACAATTGATACTCAGAACCTGTTTATTAAACATGAGGCAGTGTACTCTTTTCCTTCAATTTTAAGTGACCCTGGCTCAGTTGAGTACCAGCAGTTTAAGCCAAAGTCCCACATGCATAGGGGATGTCACTATCTAGAAACGAAGTACATGTGCCCCAAGAGATGGCATCACAGGAGAGGGAGCCTTACCTTCACAGACCAGAAGTCGAAGGACAGAAGGAACAGCACAGTGACAAAGCAGCCCACAAAGCTCTTGCTGAACCAGTCACAGCACACATAGGTGACGATGGCACTCACTCGGAAGAAAAGGTGGAAGAAGGTGGCCAGGGGATGCCTAGAAAACAACCCAGAAGGTGCCCTCACTCCCAAGGCCAGCAGGCAGTCACAGGCTCACTCCCCCATTCGGAGGGCCCAGCCCACTGGCTTCTCTGCACGGAAGAAGGAAGGTCCTCCAAGCCAAAACAGGCGGCATTGTGAAGGACATCACTACCTTCACAGTCCCGAAACCATCATTATGACAATAGCAATATTGTTTTCTCTCCTTCAAAGAATCCAGTACTTTCCCCTAATTTGACTCCAAATATCACTAGCCTGGTGTGAAACAAAGTCAACTTTAAAGTGAAACAGGACTGCGATCACTTGCCTCCCATCTGGCAGTGACAGTGCCCAGTTCCCTAAAGGTAAAGGTTGCATTATTCTGCGAGTAACAGCACACGTGAGCCCGCGCCTGGTGTCACCAGGGAGTGTGTTCCCGGAAGAGGAAATGGTCATCACACTCAAATGGCAGGTCCAACTCATGCCAGCTGCTCAGCAGTGTCACCTGAATGTCACTGACATTTCACCGAGAGGAAGATGACTCTTGTTCACTGTGCCTTATGACCTACCAAGAGTAGAGTGAGACAGTGAAGAGCAGTCATCTACATCAAGTTAGTGAGTCTGGGAGAAAAACAAAGGGTGAATTCTTGAAAAGGGTCAATAGTTTGGGGCAGGAAACATGCCTATAGGGGTCATGCTGGCAGTGACAGTGGCTGATGCAGGCCATAGGACATGCGTGGCTTTCTGTTTCTTTCTTTGCTGACCCAATTTAAATAGAGCTCAATTTAAATAGAGAACAGTAAGTACTCAGCTAGAATGGAGGAAGCCACAGCATACGCCCGATGACACATGGCAGCCAGAACACCAGCTCGGTGCCAGTGCCAGAGAAGGGACAGCAAGGGAAGGATGGCTCCCATGAGGAGAGGTGACTTCTCAAAACAGAACCTGGTGCTGCCGGCTCTGACGTGTCCACAAGAAGCCCAAAACCCGAACTTGCAATTGAATTTTAAATGATGGCAGACTGTGTTCCTTACTGGACTGCAAGCTGTCAGCATGCCGGCATTGGAACAGAGTTATACATATCGTGGGTTTGTAAAACGATGGGGTAGGGGGCCAGGTGGTGATCAGAAGCCATGGTGGAACTGCAGGGGGAAAGAGCCTGTTTGTCTCCCCAAGTTGAAATGTGGTCAAAGAAGCAAACTTGGGCTGTCATAAAATTATGAGGTGTCTCTGGGTGGTGGCACATGCCTGTAATCCCAGCAACCTGGGATCCCGAGGCAGGAGGATCAAAAGCTCGAGGCCAGACCTGGGCAACTTAATGAGACCTTGACTCAAAATGTAATAAAGGACAAAGTGTAGTTCAGAAGTAGAGCGCCCCTGGGTTCAATCCGCAGTACCCCCCCACCCCACCCCCACATACACACAAATTATTGTGGGGTGTCTGACCACCAAGTCTGAGTTCACAGTGACTTCTTGCATCATTTACTCCTGATGTTTTTGGAACACCAAACAGGCAAAAGGGGCTGTGGTATAACGCCAGCAGTTTTCCAGAACATTCTCCTCGTGCTTTTCAGAAACCTGGGCAGTCATGGTGGCCTGAGGGAGAACCAGCCCAGCAGGTCCACTGGCATTTCAGAATTAGACATGACCATGTAGAACTTCAAAACTTCCCGGAATGTTCCAGAAGACTGTTGGAATCTCATAACCTTTTTGCCTTCATCCTTATTGAGAATTTTTCAACTGTCAATACAGTTTTGCCCCTTGACCCTGAAGATAAATATTCTTCCAATGACCGAAAGTTTTCTAGGGCAGAGACCATGTTTAAGATACTTTAAAATATTTTAATTGGCACCTGGTAGGTATGATTCTCTGCAAATATAATTGCTGTGTGGAATCTTGTGATTGAGTCAGTTAAGATCCCTGGAAATATCTGGCTTTGGAAAATAATATGGATGTAAAAGATAAAAGCAACATAGAATATATATACATATCTCTTCTGATCCAGAGTGAAACCTGGAAGTTCCTGCATTTGAATAAATCCTGTCTGCCCAGTTTTCTTTTATTGGCTATGGTTTTTCTGAAATAAAATGCAGAAATATTTCAATTGTTGGAAGGTTCTACTAAGTTGAGTCCTGTTTACCACCCTGCTTATAATCTTAACACATACTGGAAAGTGTTACTATTATTCAAGCAAAGCCCAAAACAATAGAGTAGGATTTAAACTATTGCTTGAGTCCTATTTTATACAGGCTGCTCTTGAGGTCCCCCCCGCAAATCCTCATTTAGTCCACCTCAGGAGTTTGGCCAGCCTGGCCCCCATCTAATAGCAAGGTGGCCTCACACTAGTTTGATAGTTTCAAGAGCTTTGAAGGCCATGGTTTAAGTCCTGTTCACTGTTTCCTGCAATAGACTCCTCTGCCCTGCTGCCACCTCCACAGCCGTGGCACACACATTCAGGGGCACAGACACACGCCGATCTGCTCCACCTTCCAGGCACAACAAGGGAGGTCGTCCTAGAAAGACAAACAGCACATGGGTTCTAAGCAACCTGGGCCCCAGACTGCCAGGGCTTCGGTGCTCTGAGTAGCTCCATGGCCTTTCCTACCACGTGACCTCTCAGCACCTCTTCTCCTTCTGTAAAAGAAAACTTCAAATGAGGGTGGGACATTCAGAGTGCTTTGAAACACATGGTGCCTGACAACCAGGAGCAGCTGTTACCATCTCAGCCCACAGCATCTCTCAGGATGGTTCCACTGCTAAGGGGCTGCTCTGCAAAATTCCCCCTCTGACCATGACTTTCTCTTCGAGGGGATCCCCCAGGACTCCTGATCCCTCCATATTCCCTCAGATGACCCTTCGCGCTCATCTCTAGCAAGTGACATTTTCTCCTCAGTATCTGACACTCTCCCCTCCACAGACCAGGTCAAGCCTGTTACCTGGAGAGGAACAGTGAAAATGAGACCAACGTGGAAAGGGAGAAATGAAATCACTCTAAGTGTTGTCAAGGTAGGGAGGGTCTTGTTGGGTTTGTGTCCAAGTTTCCTCTATTTGTAAATCCATTTTCACAGTTCTGGGCCCCAAACACATACCATCTTCCACCCTGGAGAGAAACACAGTTGGATCTCAACCTGGTATCTGCATAAGAGTCACCTGAGCCCTTCAACTACATGCAAGATATATGGGGACTCAGATGTGGGGTGAGACCTCAACATGAATTTTACAGTGCTATACCATGTTCAGCAAACTAATCCAAAGGCCAACTCTGGCCCACCTCCTGTTTTTGTATATAAAATTTCATTAGAAAACAGTGAAAGGCATATGGTGGACCACACCTGTAATTCCCAGCACTGTAGGAGGCTGAGGCAGGAGGATGGAAAATTCAAGCCCAACTTGGCCATCATAGTGAGACCTTGTCTCAAAATAAAAAAAATTTCAAAGCCTGGGAATGTAGCCAGTGTAAAAGTATTGGGTTCAATCCCCAGTACTGAAAAAAAATTTTTTAAAAACAGCCTTCCTCACTCAGTCACTGGTCTGCAAAACATAAAATATTTTCCCAGAAAGTACAGGTATAATTTGGGGATTAAATTAGCCTTCACTCAAAAAAAAAACAAAATGAAGCAAAGTATCACTACTGCTATCTGTCCCCACCACCACCACCACCACAAGAATCCACTGTCAAAAGCTGTGGGGTAGAAATTGCCTGCCTGGCAAAACCAATGGATTATCTTGGAACCCAGGACAAGGTTACATCTGGGGTGAGCGTTCACTTACAATTTCTGGACTTCATGTATGCTACACCTCAACTCTTTTTAAATTCCTCTTGGAATCTACTGACCAAAGACAGATCTTTGCAAGTTACTCAAAAACTGCTAGATGTGATACAAGCCAGCCACCCTAACCCTCAGCATTTACTCAAATGAATGGAAACTTATGGATGCAAAAAAATGGACATGTAAATGTTTATAGCAGTATAATGCATAACTGTCAAAACTGAGAAGCAACTAAGGCTCATGAAGAGAATAGACAGAGTACAGTACATCCAGACAATGGGATGTTGGGCAACACTATGAAGAAATGAGCTATGGTACCACAAAAAGACACAGAGGAACCTTAGACATGCACTGCTAAGTGGAAGAAGGCACTCAGAAAAGGATGCATGCGGGATAATTCCAACTCCACAATGTTTTGGCAAATATGAAGCTGTAGTGATAGTAAAAGATCAGCTGTCCCCAGGAATTCTGAGGGGTGGAGATAGGGAAAAATAGGCAGAGCACAGGTGATTTTTAAGGCAGTGACACTTCTCTATGATACTACAGGGTGGGTGCATGCCCTTGTACATTTGTCAAATCTCATGGCATGTATAACAGGAAGAGGGACCAGTAAATGAACTGGGGACTTTAGTTGCTAGTAACACATTGGTTTACCAATTGTAACACATGTACAGTGTAAGACATTACTAACAGGGGAAATTGTGGGGTGGAGAAGAGCTTATGGGAACTGTATTTCTGCTCAGTTTTTCCATAAACCTAAAACTACTACAAAAATAGAGGCAAAGGTTATAATAAGGTGGATGGACACAGGTTAGGAGGTAGGTCTGCCTAGACAGAGGACACAGAGTATATTGGGGTGTGGGAAATATCAGCATTTACTCAAATGTACTGAAAACTTGGGTCTGCACAAAAAAGCAACCTGTGAATGTTCACAGCAGAGCACATACAGCCCCATACACCAGCTGCTACAGCAAATTTGATTTGGTGGAAGAGATTGGTTCATCCTACATTCAGCAGCAATCTAATAGTTTCTTTAAAAAGTGCCCCTTTAAAGAGCTAAATATCAAGACAGAAACAGTAAACTTGCTGGAAGATAAGTTAGGTAGAACTCTCAATGACACTGGCATAGGAAAAGACTTCATGAACAAAACTTCAGTAGCACGGGAGCTAACACAAAGAATCAACAACTGGGATCTCATCTTATTAAAAAGCTTCTGCACTGCAAGAGAAACCACCAACAGAGCTAAGA